GAAATAACAGGGTCAGTGGAGAAAGCAGGCCCTTTAAGTTGCTTTGTGACTTCTCTATTTTTGCTCGTGATAAATTTTAGAGAAGTAATTCTAGACACCGTCTTCATTTAACGACTAAATGCCATCCCTTCAGTGCCGCATGTTATTGCAATTTTCAGAGTACCATACACGTTATTTTTTCCGACATCAGCTACATGCAAGAAAAGTCTCAGTCATCTAAACAGAGTAAATCTCAAAAAGGAAATACTTGTATCTTGGGCTGTCTTACCTATTTTTCTTCAAAATCGCCGATGCTATAATTGCAGGAACTGCACCAAGAACTACTTTACACAAAACAAAAACAAAAAGAGGAGCAATTTAGTAACAAGTTTAAATAAAACATAACATTTTGTGAAAAGATAAGTCTGAATCTCCACAGTTCTGGAACTTGCTCTCATCATCACTGACAGATTATCTGCATCATAGGACACAATTTTTTTCCCCTTAGGATGATAAATAAGCCCCTCTCATATACCAGCTCAAACAACACAAGAACTCTCTACCGTAATCCAGAAAGAGGTTCTGATGTTGGATCTCCTAATTTATCAAGTCTTTAATGCTTCTGTGTACAGCTTAAGGATTGTCTAGATTCCTAGCTCATCCAGAGTAATGCTCAGTATTCAATCTACTCCAAGATGTTCAAGCTTAAATTCAACTTCTTCCCTTCAGTCCCCTGCAAGGTGTTGAAGTTCTCCACCAAAGAGTCATAGAATGTATTATGTTCAATCTCCAGTATGGCTTGCTTGATTTCTTCCCCAATTGATCTAATATTTTAAACTGATCAATAAAAATTAGAAAAAGAAGCGACCAAATTCATCAGATTCTCTCTCAGTCTTGAACCTTAAAATGAAAACTTCTACCAATCTGTCTACTTTGGGGTCACACTGAGCCAACTAAAACCATGTTTCAATTCTGCTATTGAGATTTGAGCACAGTTTCCCCGATCGGCACACACCGGGTCAGCTGCATCTTAGAGCCATGTGACGGGGATGTAGGTTACAGAATGGTTTGGGTTGGCATATTCTCAGAAGCCTGATCAATGGAGACAGTGGTCAGGCAAGTGCTAGAACCCTGCTTGTAACAGCTCCAAATGCACAGTGGTCTTATGATCTGCTCCTTGACAATGCTACTCTAGGACCGAACGCCTATTGACTTCTGTGGGACTTAGGCATGTGCTGAAGTGCTTTGATGAACAGGTGCGTACATAGGGAACAGTCTGCTCCCTAAAGTTAAGCTACATCGTCTGTGGGAATTCTGGGAGAGAAGGGGTAAATGTGTTCTCAATAGCCGAGCATGACGACTGAACAATCAAGATCTGTTTTGTGGAGACCACTGCAGGCTGACTAACTCTGGATGCCGAGAACTTCAGTAACAGCCTTCTAATTTCCTGTATAATATGAGACTATCAAATCTAACCTACAAAGTGATTTCTTGGCTGTTTTTATAACTTCCCTTCCTAGCTTTTGCCCTTTCCATTTTTGGTAAGCACCAGACATACATATACAGTCTTAAGTGGTGAGGAAGTATTCTCACCCAAAACAGAGCTACACAATTGAACCTTTTCTTGATCTCCCTGGGGATAAAGAGGAAAATGAGATTCTTCCCTCCCCTTTTGTTCCCCAATATTGTGCAAACACATTTCAGATAGAATCACAGCAGACTGCCCAGCTCAGGCAAATATTGTGAATATGCAGAAAGAGAAAACAGCTAGGAGTATGAATACAGGCTTCTCTCCAGAAAATGGCAGTGCTTTTACATGGCACCACAGCATGTTAGAAATGGCAGAGAAGTTCAAGGACCCTAAATCCCAGGGTCTTTAGTAATTAAGTAGGGGGAAAACATTATGAGATGGATAAAGGGCAATATTAAAATAGCCTTGACTCCAGGTCTTAAAACCGTCATAGCTTTAGTGCATTGAATGATTTTAAGTTACTTACCGATACCAATACCGGTGCCAATGCCTATTGCAATGACTATGACAAGCCCTAAAGAGAGAAACAAAAAATGTGAGCTAAAATATGAAACCAAGTTCATGTCAATAACCTACAGGAACTCATCCACAATCCATGCATATGAAGCTACACTTAGTACTCTAGATTATACCAGCTATTAATGAACAATTAAGGTAGTCACGCAAACACCACATTCTAAAATGGATAATCATTAGCTGTTGGAAACCATGATCTCACCCCTGGAGAACCTCATAATAAAGCAAAGCAGCTTTTCAAAGGATTGTACACATTTGTAACTTGTAATACCAACAGGAAAACCATTGTGTAAATGGAGGACACAGTCTGGGTTTAAAGGTTTTCTGGATGTTAAGGGTTCTCTTGCACATGCTTCTAGGCTCTCATTTCCCAAGCCTGCACTGGCCAGTCGTATGTTTGCCAAAATGCTAAGCAAGGCCAGAATCATTATACTCAGCTTGTCTAGACAAGGTACCACAATTTTTGCCCTAGCATATCATCATAGGTTAGTGTTATGTTATCTGGTATCACAGATATAAAGAGTGCTGTAATCTGCATTTCTAATTACCCAAATAGATTGTTTCAAGGGACAGACTTTTGCTGTTCTTACTAGAATAAGATCATTTATCATCTAACCACTGGCTGTGGAAGATACTGAAT